GGGGGTGAGGCCACTGGTAAAGACTAAGTCCAAGATATTTTGATGTCTGGTAGGGCTACTAACATATTGAGTCCACTGTCCTAGTTCTAGACATTCAATAAATGATTCATAACGTTTTGGAGCTTTGACTGGAAACCAAGAAATTTCGGGAATGTTGAAGTCACCACAAATGAGCTTGCCTGTGAATGGAAGGGATGATGCTAGTGTGAATAGATCTGATAATACTGCTATTTCACCTATTGCCAAGTTAGGTTGCTGGTAGATACAGTCGAACAGTAAGGTAGTGGAATTTGGTGGCTTTAAAACAATCCACACCGAGTCCTTCAGTTTGTTTAGTTCAGGCATATCGCATGGTAGTGAGTTTAAGCTAGAGTGAGCATAAGTAAGGCATCCTTCGCCTCGTCCTTTCAATCTATCGCTTCTATATAAGAGATAGTTATCAAGAGATATACTTAGATCGGAAATATTACTGTTAGTCCATGCTTCAGATATCATTATAAGTGATGGTTGATATATGGAAGCTAAATCAGTCTTCTTATTGCAGATCGACCTAGCGTTGATAAGACACATATTAAACAAGTGACCTACTAAGTTAAAGTGAGCGAGAGTATCTCGATTGAAGATGTCATGATCCTCGTGTGAGTGATGTATGTTTGACATAATGGATTGAGCGTTTTTCAATAGCTCTGTATTTTGATAGCTAGAGTTACTGGGGTATGTATCAAATGAGCTAGTGAAGGTGCTTGGGGAGGAAAGGGTGGGAGTACTTTCTGATGCGAACTGTACGGGGGAGGCGAGTTTATGTTCCGCACTTGGTTTGAAATGACTAGGTCTATATGCTTCAACAGGGGTGCAACTAGGGATCTTATTCCAAAAAAATCTGGTACATGTTGACTGTAAAGTGTACTGTTATTTGCAAGACAGTTTTGATGGTTAAGCTCGTGGCCCCTGTTATAACTATTTGCGCTAGTGCGAGCATGAGGGGGGTCTGATGCTCGTAACTGGAAGTGGTTACGACTGTTGTTATATATGGAGGCTGTCTTCATGTGGTGGGTTGATACTGGAAAGTTCTCATTCTGAGAGTAATTACAATTGTGATTCTGGGGAATGTACATAGGGTGTGGGGCGAGGAACCTGTAATTACCATGCTTATTAACGGTTTTAGGCTTAAGAAGGTGAGTGGAGTGATCAGTATTCTGATAGTTTTTGTGAGTGTGTGTGTAATAAGGTTTATTATGCTCAAGCATACTACCCATTGTGCGAGGTGTTGATGGCAAGTTACATGATATCAGCGGGTAGAACCTATTCACTGTTGTTGGGATACCCACAGAACAGTTGGCCTCAATCTTACGTATTCCCCTATTTCGTATTTTGGATTTTAGCTCCCCAGACTTTTTTTGTCAGAGATGAAGGGTTTCTTTGCCTCTGTGAGATGAACTTAGGTTCATTCGAATCCTCTTGTGAAGTATCTCTTGGGGGACCAATTTTTTACGTGAATATGTTTAGTTGGGTGTGTTTCGTTACACGGCCCACATTTTGGTATTATACTGAGCGAACACCCGGGATCAGAGATGCCGTCACGCTTTTAAGTGACAGGTGGGGACCGTATCTTATCCAAAGATTTCTGATCTGCAGACTCATCTAGATCTACGGATGGACCAGTCGTTTCTGGTATAACATCACGCTTGTCGTCCATACGCTTTATATCATTCATTTTGCTGCATACTGTCTTTAGCTGGTTTTTTACTATCACTCTACCATACGATTCTATTGCTTCACATCTTCTTATACGACGTTGACACGGTGTTAGGTCAGGAGTGACTTTTATGCTTTCGTATGGAATTAATGAGCTAATATTTTTGCTTAGATCAATAAACTGCTTAGCATCGTTACAACAGTCAAACTTAAATAATAGAGGGCAAGTCAATCTATCTAACTTTTTTCTGAGGCGGATGACTTGGCAGTCGACTTTCAGCATATCGCATGCTTTAAGGCAGATGCCCCTCAACTTATTTGGGTGTGTGCGACCAGGGAGATTGTAAACTAATGTAATGTGGGATGATATCATTCCTTTCGTCACTTCTTCAGCCACAAACTCTAAAATACACTCAGCTTTAGTGAGTTGTTCGAGATTTTTATCTGTATTAATACCCCATATGTGTGTGAGGGGTGCTAGTTGGTAAAGTCTACTGTAAATTTCGGCTAGGGAGTTTTGTAAATGACGAATGTCAGTACTATATCGATCAGCATTCTCGTATACGTGAGATACACTGTTAGACTCCTTGGTTTTCGGTATATTGGACCTAGGTCTAAGTAAAGCATGCGGTTTGGTGGACTGTATTGACTTTTTGATGCACGTGGGCATTTCGCTTTTTATGTCAACTAGTCTTACCATTGGCATACTGCATGAAGAGATAGAGAGGTTGTTACATGGAGAATCAGGTAGTGTTAGTGATATTTGTGGGTAGGTAGTATGGGGTTCAAAGGATAAATGCTTATCATTTTCAGGTACTGAGTCATCAGTCTTTGGAGTTACGGACTTTGACCTTTTAGTAGGCTTGAAAGCTGGTGAAATCTCTCTTTTACTCTAGTTACTTGACATATTTCGAAGCCGGGTGAGTTAAAAACCTGTCTAACAGATATATATATGAGTATATAATTATTTCTACGTATTAACCGGGTTAGTACTATGATCAGAGACTATAAGTATATAACGTATTACAGATAAAAAGTGCTGTTATAATGTAAGGAAGTACTGATCAGTAAAATCTCTATTAACTGGGCAAGTGTCGGTTAAAATTTATTAACCGAGAGTAAAGTGTGAGCGATAAACGCGATTGGATGACAATCTAAGGACGATACAGCCTACAAAAGAACAAGTCTAAGAATTTCTAAACCACGTGAAAAAATGTTACCACTTTCAAATTTTGCGCGAGACAGTGCCGCCTCTAACCAGTTTGTTGAATGCATATAGATTTGCAAGTCCTTCCCCATTTACATTTCTCTCTCCTAATCCATGTCATCCAATTACATCTTCATATCCTGTATCGTCCACTCCAACTTTAGCATTTAGATCTCCCATCAGGATGGTGAGGTCCTTTCGTGAGCACTACTCTATAATTGATTGCAGCCTTTCATAGAACTGAATTTTGTCATCATCGTTGCTATAATTGGTGGGTGCATTACATTAGATAACGTTCATTGTGATCCCCTCCTTTTTCGTTCTGAATGATGCTTTGATTATCCTGGGTCCATGAGATTCCCATCCTACAAGTGCATTTAGTGCTTCTTTGGACAGCATTGGTGCAACTCCCTGAGTGTGTGGAGCATTGTCCTCTTCGTGACCGGAGTACGGCAGCATCTCTCCTGTACCTATCCTTTGTTGTCCAGTTTGTGTCCAATGGGTTTCGCTGATTCCAAGAACTGCCAAGTTTTATCTTCTCATTTCCATTGCTATTCGACCGGTCTTTCCTGTCTCCCACATTGCCCGGACGTTCCATGTACCTATAAAGAGTGTTACTCTGGTTGTCAGAAGGTGCATCGGCCTCGCGACTACCGAAAAATTTCGGCTTTCATCATGAGGCGTCATAATTATCCCTTCAACTCTCAGGGCAGAGTTTAAATGGGTTGAATTATTTTTTCTGGTAAGCGTTTTTTTTTAGCGAGATAGCTTTTCTACGGGTTGGGGTCGCTAACCCCATGCCCAACCCTCCTCCTTCACCGGGCTTGTGACCGGCAGTAAATCTAGAAGAGCTACAGGCGGAGTTATATTACGTAATTACTCGATGGGTATTATTTCATTGGCATAAATCATGTTCAGTGGTGTAGAGGGATGATGGAAAATTATTGGAAGAGGAACGTATTTGCTTGCTTCGTTCTTTTTACCTAAATAATAAGAGAATCCGATGAAAGTGCAAAACATACAAATCACTACTGGTCATCTAGATAAAAAACATTCCAATCAAAACCTAGATAAGATCACTAGCCTTTCGATGCGTGTCAAGCCTACTTGAATTGCGCCCTCATCAGGCATGGCCATAGTCCCCTCAGTTGACAGTTTCACGGAGAGGTATGACAACATCATCTTACCCATAGCTTACTGTCCACTCAAGCAGTAATAACCCTCAGTAAACTATCCAATTCTTTATTGGTACTGCAAACAATTGACAAGACTACTCTCATTGAACTTTCCGACGGACCTGATACCGTCTCGTAACATCGAACAGATGACGCAAAAGAAATAGGCGGTTTATAGTAGCTCATCACAAATATCTTGGATACTACAAAAAAGTCAAGAAATTGAAGTAAAGGGTATACAGTGCATAATAAAGTCGTTTTCTAAAAACTCTGATTATACACTATTTCTTATCCCTAGTCAAACTAAAAGTAGAGAGAAAAGATGTGCAAAGATATATTTGAAAAATGGTCGAGGTCGATATAATAGGATATTTGCAATGTAAACGGATTAACTACCGTAAGAGTTTTGCAACACAGTTTACACATACGTAATCTGGTGAGAATATTTAGGGAAAAAACTCCACATAAAGGTATTTCTGGCCAAAATTTAGGTCGATGAAAATGTTAAAGACTTACAGAACTTTTGATACTTGAGATCCATTTACCGCTACAAAATAATAGCATATCAGTGGATAACACGTTTTGTATCTCACTAAATGCTATCTGAAACCTACTACCAAACTATTGATGTCAAATTCTTAAATCCACTCGAAAAAAGAAAAGACATACATCAACAGGCATAGTATGCAATAAACTATGTGGTCTTAAGTCAGTTATCCCATCAGATATAAGCCAAATAGAAACCTGCGTACCTTACAAGTATAACAAGCTGACTTGACTGCTTTTTATATTTAAGATTATAATAAGCCGTTTTGGTCGTGTATACATCTTTGATACACAAATATTTTAATCCGTAAAACCTCTTCTGATATGAATTAATTTACGACGTTATGTCCCTCGTTTATATGTTTGACTTTCAATATGTTGTCATAACAACTAAACTCACGGTTTTGAAATAATAATGGGAGATGTAGGGGATTTCTTGGAAAAGTGGCCAGCACATGCCCTTGGGAGATCGTTTGCTAAGTCAAATGCATGTGTTATCAATAATAGATTAGTTTCGCTGACAGAAGTTGAAACAAGTTTGTGGTTTTACTCATCATTTTATTGCAATGTTTAAAGAAATCCCTAATATCGTCCCCAAACCGAAGTTTCTTGATACAATCGAAAAGAAGATATGTGATGGATTAAAAAATATACAGTCAAATGACAGAGACCTCAGGTTCCAGGTTAGTTTTCTCTGTATTTGTAATCACCAGTTTTACCGACAGATTTACAAAGAAGCATTTCAGTCATTTATCCATGAGTTTAAGACATATAGAACGTTTCTTTCAGACATCTATAAGGAATATGAAGAATATTTAAGCTTTTACAAGGCTGAGGCACAGAAGCTTAGACCAGTCAAGGTAAAACTTATAACATTTGTTTCTATCATTTGTCACCACGCATAGGAATACCTCTGGACCATTTCTCAAGAATGCGATGAACGTATATTAAAATTACAAAAAAGGGAAAGACCAGGTAATCATTTATATTTTGGTCCTGCAACACACAAGAACTCAATAGTTTGAAACGAGAAATTATAAGACTGAGAGAATTGGTTTCACAATTAAAGGAGGATAAGGTTGGTCTGGAAACTCAGGTGAGTCAGTGAATAATTACTTGCAATCGTGAAACGCTATTTAGTTTTATTTGTATATTGATTAACAGTTTCAGCTAATTAGTCATCAAATTTATATCTAGCTTTTTCCACAAAGAAAGAATAGTGGAAATTATAATATACCTTATTTCGCAGTTGACGGACTTATTATTATTACTCATCAAATTTTTCTCCCCTGAAGTTATGGTTGCTTGTTGTTTTTAGTTAGCCGACTTTGTGAAAATGTAAGCAATAACTCTAGTTGCTTAGTCAGTTAGTCAAGCAAAACGTACAGCCTGGCATATATGTGCAAAGGTGTAAGTTACCATACCACAATAACAGAAATCCAAGGACGGTAGGACTAAACTATACTGCCGACCTTTGAACGAATCTTAAATGACCTTGAGAAATATTAGTCAATCAGAAGACAGTCAGTGTACAGTAAAAATTTATTATACAAAACCAAAGAATTAAAGTGGAAACACTTCTTTTGCATGAGTCAAAAACTTCTCAAGGTCAGATATAGGTTCAAAAGTTCTAAAATCATAGTGCATACGGTACAGGAATACATCCATATGGCTCCATAGTAGTCGACCTCTGAAACCATGATAAGGTCTCAAAAATTCTTTTAGCCTCGACCATATAGCTTCAATAATGTTAGTATATTGGTATGGTTTACGGTCTAGGGTTACAGTTAAGGTTTAGGGTTATGGGTGAGACTATAAGTTATGGACAACATTTGAGCGACGCTAGAGTGACTCTGAGAGTGCCAACATAATAACTAAGATCAAATGAGGGTATAAACCTGTGTGAAGAATTCAAATTATGATTTAAAGTTCACGGTTAAGGCTAGGAATTATACTAAGGGTTTTCATCACAAACTGACATCATCTATAATGCCAAAACTCTATTTATCCAAATGGATAATTGAATTTCGCGCCAAAATCTTATGATTACTTCTCTTGTAGACGCTGAATTATCACGTCTTACCTAAAATCCGCTGTAAACCGATCGTACGTAAGCATCAGGTACCAAACTTAGCGCCGTGGCCTTGAAAACCCGCGAAAGCTTCTGATTGGTTCGGCAGTATAGTTTAGTCCTACCCCAAGGACCAATCCCAGAGTAGTAAAAGCAGTTACAAACTTTTCGGCAATAGTAAAATTTAGTCACAAAAGATATAATAGTAGAAGAAAATACCAATTATTGAATGATGAAAAAAGTTACATGGTAAGTTGGGTACATGTGATCTAAGGGAAGATAATGAGCTGATGCACCCGAGCTTCTGCGAATAATCTTAAGGTATATCATTCAGAACTGTTTAAATAACTTATCAATTCTTGACGATCTGTTAATGCGATTTACATTCTTTTCTGTAACTTTTTTAAGTAGACTAAGTAATAGTAATCTATAATTTTTGGTTATTAAAATTTTTCTGTCAATGCATGTATAGTGACAAATGTAATGTGTCGTTGTGTTGGTCAGTTTCTAGATGCTTGCAAGATTTGAATTTAGCTATGCGAAATCCTAAATATTATCAAAATGTCCTTTGAACATTGTAAAAATGTGCTGATTTATTTTCAGTTCGTAAATGTAGCAGAATAGTATTGAATCTTCTTTCTGTCCAGTAGTGGTAGTTTTGTCAGAAAAGCCTTCTTACTTGACATACAAACCATTATTCATTGTATCTGCTGAGTGTTTTCCAGAATTTTACTCTCTGGGCGGCAATAAAATTGCCGCATTATGATGAACAGTGATAGATATCTGTGCACATTTGGCAATAACGGTCACTTCACATTACAAAATACTTCTCAAATAAGGTGTATTGTTAGGATAATGTAATTTATATATATTTATATCGATGGATATATAGTAAAATATATTGGGAAAGTAAGTTTTTCTAGTCACTAGGAGCGTTTTGATGCAACTAAAACTGTTGACATTTTAAAATCTACCATAATGTATGTCAGTTAATCTTTAAAATCTTCATCGATATTACTTTAAAGTAACTCTCAGTAATACATCTACCAAACAAAAAAATCTATCAATACTTCACTATTTTCTGCTATTTCTTCAGCAACATCCAATTTTATTTACTATCATGTTTTTGAAAGTTGCGAATATATTTACTCAACAAATGAGGTAGGTGGGAAATTTATTACTCCCATCTGATCAACCATTTAAACGAGTTAAATTTTTCGGTTCAAGAATTACTTGTAAGAATGCTAGGGGTGACCAAGTCAAGTCATTACACGGAGTAGTCAGCAGACGTGTTTGGTTGCGCTAGTGGGTTCAGATCACCTAGTTGGTGAGCCCGACTGAAGAAATTGACTGATATGTTATGTGACCGGCTGTGTCCAAATTGTGCTTTGCTCTAACCCTACAACTGATCACTTGAACGAGAACATAAGAATGAGCGAGAAAGTGTGTTAGGCTACCGAATCAAACGCACAAATATATACATATATATATATATACTAGTCTGTCCTTAAGAAATTGACCTATTTATTAGCCAATGAAATGTACTCGTCCTTTAGATCCATTCTGATTGGCTCTCTGTATCACATGTTCCGGAATGGGTTTCTACTATACGGATACACTCACTGTTTGTCATCCGTCAGATTTCGAGCGATAAATTCACGCATCATTTTCTATTTCATATATTTATTCTCTCTTCTTAAATCATACTATCTATTCCGAATCTTTTCTACTGTTACTGACTATGTTCTTACTTCCACTACTATAGGATTTGTCTTGACACCTTTATCATTCTGTGAAAATGTTAGGAAATTTATATTAATACTTGTCTATGCAAGATTTTGTGTCGGATCAACGAAGTGACAGTCAAAATTAGGCTTCTGTTGGCTGTTTACGCTAGGGTTTGCTACTAAAGTCTTTGCATATTTATGGTAGTAAATCTCCATGCAGAAAGCTCTTGAGTTAATTTTCTCTTGCAACTCAGTCAATCCCAGTATTCCTCTGTTCATACTATTTCACCAAGTCTTTTCGAAATAATATCCTAATATTGAGTCTTTCAGGTTTTTATTTCCACCACATTTTTTCTTTTTTCTGTTTATCTATTAAAATTTATTTTGTTGTGCTATCGATGTATGGCAATTTGGGACAACGGAAACTTGTGCTTGGCTCTTGGTAAATAAGCTTTTTAAAGTTCTCTTGGCAGATAATTACTTATGCAAACAATTATTCGGTGATTTGATTGTACTCGTTCAGTATGATAGATCACAGTAGGTTTGTCTATACTAACTTGCTAAGTGGTCCGAACTTTATCGTAAAATGGTTCTATCATGTAGCTCAACTTGCCGAGAAGCTTCCATATCAATATAAAACATTTCACCCTAATAATAATCCACTGTATTTAACAGGTTTTAGTATCAGGCTTCTAACGATTAACTTACATGTTCGGAACCCACTTAACCACTTTGAATTTGGTAGAGACAAAGGTGTGAAACAAACTCAGACACACTTTATCTCGAATAAGGTCCACTCCACCAATTCTAGCGGTTGGCTAAATAAATTCATAGTCAAACCTTGGCTAAATTTAGAAACTCCAGATTTAAATTTGTAATTTGTTCTCATTCAAACAATAATATTTACTTTCCGACGGTTCTTCTCTTAGGTAGAACAATTAACTCAATCAATTAAAGAAGAACATGACAAATTTAGATATGAAGCTGATGCAAAACGGCTGTTAATATCAGAAATTAATGCAATGAGAATGCAGTTTGATGAAAGCGAAGGGGTATCTAAGCAATTACAAAGTAAAACTAGCCGACAAGATGACCCAGTCTTGTTGAAAATCGCATTAGAGTAAGTTTTGTATCTTGAAACCGATAAAAGGTTTTTTAACGCTCTGAGTTCTCTGCAGTAAATTTGGGTCACTAATTCTATGTTTGCATTGACAGTTGAACGACAAACTAAATGATAATCAAGAACCAGCAGATAATGATTTCTTCCTATTTTACAGTTATTTAAGAGTGAACGCTCGCAGAAACCTTTTATTAAATAATATAAGCACAAAACTACCCGTATACACGAAGAATATGTTTGTGAGACTTTTTTCCCTTGATATTAGGAAAGAGCCAGGGATGATTAATTTGTCTAATGTTAAGGTTCTTTTGAGCCTCACAATTTTTCGACTCACCGAAATGTATACAAAAATCTCGTCGGTATGTGATGTGGAGCTACTTGTTTATATGAAAATGATTTAAAAGATATTTCAAATGTTGATCATCCTTGTTTTCAGAAAAAAATCAAACTATGTTGTGACTGTCACAAAGAAATCTATTTAACTAATGTTTGTACTAAAACTAATAGTTATCTAGTACTTAAGTGCAGTTTGTGAAAATAAAGAATGCTTTAACAAGCTTGGTTTCTGCGTGAACCGATTATGTTGACAATTATTTCATCAGTTCTTGAAACGAAGTTCATGAAACGAACATACAGTTATCATACCTTATCATACTTATACTGACAGATATAAATAGGATGTAGCGGCAATCGGAAGTGGGATGTCCGGCATCAGGAGACTGGATCGAAGAGAACAGGAAGGTAAATTGGAAAGTAATCAAAATAACAACGGAATTAAAGGAATAACAAAGTTTGTAAAGGACAACACAAAAAACATGTGCAAATGATGTATTTAATGTGTGATTTTCATAGTTTACTAAACCATTGTGTAAGCTTGCATTCAGCAACAAATTGGTTTCCCCCACTTGAATTCTTATTCACTGCTACTAGGTTCGTGTCCCAGGTGTAAAATACACCATACCTACACTCACAATATGATTCCATCGATCAATAAATATTTTAAAAACGCTATTCTCTGAAGATGTTTCAAAAACTATACTCGATTTATACAAACTTTATTTGAATTTGTTTTATCACATGAAAAGTTATGATCAATAGTTACCCAACGTGAAATCAAACAAGGTTGTTGTCGGAAAAGCTTGTTTTCATAGTCCTTGTCTAGACTCACGCTTTATTATGGCAATACTCAACTTTCAAAACTCTTTGGTTTGGAGTATTTAGACCAGTTAATTCTACCAATAAGCAACTGTAGAAATATAACGGATTTCCTACTATTTCTGAGTGAAAAATTCAGGATGATCGGTTTATGTTTCGACTTTACTGATATTTAGTTTAGGACTAAAAAATCAATTATTACTTGAAGCAAAACAGGCATACTGTGACGCACTTTTCTAATTTGTATAGTTCAACAAGAAACAGAATTTATTGTGGGTTAAAACCTTTTTTTGTGGTGATATAACAAGCGAAAGACGTCCAATATTAAAACACGAATTGAGGACAATGTGACAAAGTAAATATTTATATCCTCCAATAAAAACAAGTTAAATTGTTGTTGCTCATGATTAATGTATTGCTTTTCAGAAAAATGTTTAGTTCATAATTAGATGTTTTTATTTTCTTATTTTAGACAAGCAAGAAAAGCTCAGTCAGCTTCTGAATTTGAAGTGGTTCAATTAAAAGCTGAATACGTGAATGTTATGCCTAAAAGTCGGTATGATGCTTTATGGGAAGCAAATAGTAAAATAAAAAACGACTATGACATGAAGATTAAAGAAAATGAGGAATTGAATGAATCATTGGAGTATGTATGTTACTAATGTTAATTCGAGTATGTTTTTATTCATGATTATTCAAATATGGGAGTAAGTACTTTGTAATCTTGTATAGCTGAAATCTTTTCTTAACTCTTACCAGTCCTGTTATCAGGATAAATTTATTAAAGAAAAGTTTGAAGGCCAGTGTCTATAGACGGATATCTATGAATGAACTGTGCTACATGCTTTTTAGCACGTCAGAAGATTCAATTTAGTGGGTTAAAGAATATGGACAAAGAAAAGAGCTTGAGTTTCCTATTTTATTTAATTATGTCTTACTGCTTAAAACCAAGATAATTTAATTAAACTCGTTGAATCAAGTTTAGGAATCAGAGTTCTGTTTGGACTATTGTGATGTCTTTAAAAGCTAACATTACCGAATTCGCTTAGTTAGTCGTATTACATGGTCATCGCTCATCTTTATTGATTGTACTTGTCTTAACCGTTTCAAAATTCTTCTTAAAAGCTACGAAAAATCACACCCGATAAGTTCTTTAAATTGTCTTTCAAAACACGACGTCCAAGATTCTGTTACTCACCTTTTGTAAGTTTTGGTTGGTTTTCTTTTTAAAAAGGCTTTGAAATCAGACCTCCTTTCCACTAATGCCTATCAAAAAATGTGTATATGACTTTTAGAGCAGGATTTATCTATCAACTTGGTTATAACCAAGATCCTTAAATTCATCGTAAAATGTATTAGTCACATAGCGTCTTCGAATTTTGACTTGTTCTGTTTAAAAAGTGGTTGTGAACAGTAACTTGATAAAATAAATTCAACCAATAATTGACTCTTCAGCATTGCTCGAACACAATTTCTTAGGAGATTCATTATTATCAATAAGCCCATTAAAAAACATGCCTATGAATTGCATTCTACGTCCAAGTCTAATAAGAAACGTAATTGCTCTTATGGCTTCAGCTGTTATTTAACATTTGGTATCAGTATATGTATTATAGTAATTGTCTTGAATTCTGTTTTTAGCGTTTCCAGTTGTCTAGAAATATAGAATTCATAACAACCTACTTTTTCACTTTTCAGTAGTAAGATAAATATTTCACTCCTCAAAATACTTTTAACGGTGAATATTGTCAAGATTAAACTTATCAGATATCAAATTTATGGAAGTTGTCTTTACTAATCTCAGTAGAATGTTACCTACAAACTAATTGACAGTTTATCTTAAATTAAGGTAGATGACAAAATAAGTCAACGACTAGTATAATTGTTGCTACAAGCTTCAATTAAAAAATTCACGACCGTATTGACTGCTATGTTTCAATTGTGTCATACAATACCTGTACAAAAATCTCACTTATTTATAACCGATTAAAACAGCATAACATCTTGTGTAAGAGAGCAATAATTTCGGATAGTTCGTCGGTTTATTAAGTCAGACGGTGAATTGACAGAGTAATAAATTGGACTACTATAATGATAAAAATGTTCCTAACGACATTTAATAGACGTTTGTGATACAATACATTACAGAAATCTTCTTTTTTTAAGGGGAAATGAATATGATACATATATTTGTTCTTAAAGCTCATCCTCTTCTAATATAATACCCGGAGAATAATTAAAAATATGATAATATGTACGACTTCAGCTACTACAATCATTTTACGTAAATAATCACTTACTTCTAAGTAATGAATTATAATATTCGAATAACAATCATTGTTATGCATTAGATTTCATTTAATATTTATCATTCATGTCACCTAAAGATTTCTAAAATCTCATTCAAATGAGTATCACCAAAGGACAGAATAACATATCTTTGATAACTTACCATTTGATTATTTTTCATGTATAACATTAAATAAGTAATAAACGATCATACTGAATAACTTGTTATCATTCAATAATTCATTCATGAAAACATTACCTCCATTTTTGATATCTGGATTACGTAATCAATAGACGAATTTTATTCTTTCACAGACTTCTAAAAAATCAATTAAATGAAGTTATGAAACAACGTGATCAATCAGAAACAACAGTTCAACAGTTACAAAGAGTATCAACACCTAGGTAAATAATTAAATTTTTAGTCATTATTTGTTTACTTAATAATTTAGTTGACAGTATATGAAGAAACAAATAAATAACCGTTGTATTACATAACTACTGATTGATATCTGTTTTCAAGTATATTCACTAAGTATTGTTTAGTTCCGTTGAATTTAAAACATGAAGGTGAAATAGCTATCCGCGGCTCCAGGAAGTCAATAAATGACGGAAACTATATAGCGCCTAAAGAAAACCCTACAGGCAAACTAATTTCAACACAATCATGATTTCACTAATATCTTAATTTGAGATTATAAATTAAGTTGAACATATGAAGCACTAGAATTCGAATAAATGATGTAAGTGCAAAAAGATTAGAAGTACTTCAGTTCTGTCTTGTCAAGATGAGAGCCACCAAGAAGTTCTGAACAAGAGTATACTCATACACAGAATTTTCTGGTCTTCAATGATTCTCTAATCAATATCAGTTCATGATAAAAACCGTCACCTAGTTGTTTCATTTTTGTAACATTCAGTCAAGGATTTTCATATACTTTGTGAATAACCTCTTGTCAATAAAACAGTGGATTGAATATTTATCAGTTTCGACACTGTTGTTTAAACAATCATTAAAATTTATAAATGTAAACAACATTTAAATGATGGTAAGTTATTTAATCATTCCTAAACATCCTAGAGCCGGATACAAATGTTCTTCATACCAAGTTACCATACTCCATAATGCGACGAGATGAAATTAGAAAAGACATATTTGTTAGTAGAGAAGGTAGCACTGACAGTGTAGAAAATTAGACATTGCTTTTATGATTCTGGTAAACGCAATAAATAGAATTCAGGATTTAAAGGAAAATAAATAGTGAATGCATCTGAGTTATGTTGTCCAACACCCCCAAACTGCTGATCACAGTTTTTGTACAGACTCTAACCAGGAGCCTTCATCTACCAAACCAAATCACTTCAACAACCAATGATTTTTTAAATGATCCAACGTCTTGCTTTTTTCGCTAATTAGCTTCCTTTAGAACTAACTCCACTACAGCTAACACTGCTCATTAAGGTAATTGATAGTTGACCTTACATGACACATGTTCCAGATATTACAGTTAATGAAAATTCATAGCCACGTTAGTCAATTCGGTATGTTTGTCTGGTAACCTAAACTCGACCTCAACATTGCTAACTTGGTGGTCCAAAAATGTCCATGTAATGTTTTGGATTCATTTATGATCAAAACCATGACTAGTATGTTTGCCTTCTACTCCCACAGTTGATGTTTTAGAGCTGTAGTATAATTGAGAGTAAACTGCTGCCCAGAATCCTCATCCCCTACTTGTCAGATGGATATCTTGCCGATGTCACAGATGAGGGAAATTAGTAAAATCCAATATCATGGCTGTCGAGGCTTCAAAAGTAAGCAGAGAATCAACACACCCGATAACTTCGCTCTTCATGATCAACCTAGTAAACTGTGAAATGTAAACTCCTTTGGAAAATTACCTGTTAAGAGTACCATAAGATGCTTAGAAAATGAATAATCATGTAAAAACTGATACCACTGGAACAACGAAAGTCTCAATGGTTATTCGATAACATTCATTTTTAGTATGGATTACGTAATAATTTTATTCTAATAATCATTCCATCTTGGTTGAGTATCTTATAGTATGAATAACAGATTTAATTTCCTAATATATTTTCTTGTTTGTTTAGAAGTTCTGTATTCTGATTTCTAATCACTGGTAATTCGTAGATTCGCTAAGTGAACAACTTAAAGATTGGATCATATTATTTGCTTTGGTGGTTTATGTCTGATAATTATACCATGATAACAAACTCTCCACTAGCCCTCTATTATTTAAGAAAATGCTTGATTTTGGACCCATACTTTTTTATCATATCGAAGAACAAACAGAAAGTATAAAAATAATTTCATGTTCCACTTAAAGCTTTTCAAAATTTGCTTATTTACGAGGACAAATACTACCATACACAAAATAATAAATTGAAACTTATCAAATAGAAACTACCCTTGAAAAACGACAATAATCTTCAGTAAACCATTCCGCATTGTTAAGGATACTTAAACATCGTCATTCTATTAAACGCTTCTTACTTTCTTGCTACCTTGCTCTTTTCTTTTCACAACGCTTAATTTCTCTTTTGAGCACTAAAACTCTTCACAAGGAGGCATCTTTTAGATTTGTCACAACCGATTATGCTTTCTTCTTAATTGATCATTATTTTTTTTCACTACTGTAAAAGACATCTTTAATATATCTTAACTCATTTCCTGGTTTACTGGGCCAATTGTTTTTGACGTCTCATGATAAAACTTCAGGGGATCTGTCTTTTAGATTAGCAGAGACTAGGACTAAGACAGATGATTACCGTATTCAATGTAATTGAATCGATGCTAAGAGCTTCAAATAGTATAATCAAGATATCTTGTTTATACACCAACGCTAGAAAAATGTCAAATCACTTATTTCAATGTAAAGAAAATAAATAATGATTCAGAAATGTTCATATGACAAACAAATAAAATATGGCACAGATTTTCATTTGGCAATCGATTCTTGAACACACTAGGATCCTGACAGAAATAATTTGCAACCCTGAGAATAAGCTTGGTTTCATATTATCGAGAAATCATTTTTGATGTAGTCTTTACAAGTGCTATTAGTTATAGAATGAATCTACAAGTCTACTATGGTGTTAACCACATAAGCTATTCGTTATTTAGAATGTCCATTACAATGTTTGAAAAAAAATCCGTCTCCTATCTATAAAACAATCTTATGCTTTATACATTCTTTGTACATTCGAGACCGGAATGGAGTGAAGTTGGACGCAAATTACCTGGAGGTTTAACTCGATGGTTGGAAGAAACTGCATCAATGACATCTCAAGAAAAAATGCATTTTCTTGTCAATCAGCTGACAGCACAAAGTGCTGAAAACATCGAATTCAATTTAAATGAATACATAAAGGTAATAAAAAATGATTTACTCTTATTCTTTCTCTCTTAACTTTACTGTAAAATTATAGTTTTAAATTCAGTTACAAATTATTGTGTCTAAGATAATTCTGTCAAAATTAAATGACACCATAAATTTCATTTTAAATAAGGTGATAAACTTATCGTTAAGATAATCAAAACAAAAGTGACTTAATCATCAAGTTAACTTCTATTTCAGTTCACATACAGATGAAAATGAAACTCTATAAATAGGAGTGATTTGATCAGATTTAGAAGAGATTCTATTTGTTTTCCTTGGTGTTCTACGCTATTATACGAAACAGAATAAATTATAGATGGTTTATACCATATTGGATTATTAAAACTTAGTAAGCAACACACGCAGAGATGATGAAGGCTAGCAGTGGGATACAGGACACGCGTTTCGTCCTATTTTTGATGTACCTGCATCCCAGAGTTGATGTTCACCGCAGTACATCCATCTGACGAGTCTCAAGTGGGACGAAACGCCCGTCTTGGTTTCCACTGCTAGCCACCATCATCCCTGCTTATAATGCTTGTGACTTAAGCCAATATCGAGGCAATCTGCACAGAATGCAAATATGCCAATAAGAGACTGATCAATTGCAGTCCTAAATATCAATGGGAAGATTCAAGAAACCAATACAAAAATGAATTGAGTGATCAATAGTTCTAAATATATTTTTTGTTAAGTATATCAAGTTAAAGTTATGGATAACAACTTTATTTAGTGCAGAAGCTATGTTTGTAGTAAAGGAAAGACTTATTTCAATTTGAGATTGCTTCGTAAAATCTCTCTAGGCTCATGAATGAAACTATTTGAATTTTGTAAACAAACCTGTTCACTAAACACATATGCACACTAACATTCTAATTCATAACAAATATTCCTTGAACGTAGGTCTTAAAAGAATAATTAACAATGAAGATAAAGGAAATGATTCAAGACAATATAATGTATAATATGGATAGAACTAATGTTTCATATGTTCAACTTTTCACTGCATTCGTTATTACTTTCTCTGCTTTACAATATTTTATTCTGTCAGCCTTCTTGAAAAATGTGCTGATTCTAAACATGAAACTTTAACAGATATATATATTCTTGCTATGTCCTGTTTGTTATCTTAAAATTCATCTTAAATACTTTTATCTAACTCTGTTACCAGAGTACAAAAAAATCTTCTAGATGAGGTCAAGTTATATTTAGTTTACGTACACGTATTTATTTTGACAGGTTTGTAAGTACATTCCACAACAAAAACACAGTTATATTTATTCAGGTTATCACTAGCAGCTTTGAGAAACCTATAGATTTCTATTGGGGACCAATTACAATTTTCATAGTTAAAAATCAGAAATATTTCAAGTTTACTTATTTCTATAAAAGTATAATTGTAATTTGTTAGTTATTCATTTTGGTCGTCTTTATGACTCTTGATTGGTAAATAATTATTTAATATTCTTTAAGTTTGAAAGCTCAATTAGCTTTAACATAAGTATGCGACAGTACCTTCCAGTTATCTGGCAATTAAAAAAAAATCAAAGTGTTGATTGACATATCACTATCAATGTAGAACAAATGTTCAGAAACTTTCATTAGTCAACTAATTGATAAGTAATCGGACTTATAAAGGATTTAAACTCACTTTGTCTCAAACTATTCAAGAAATCAATATATGTGAAAGTTATATTTGAAATAATCTCAGCGATTGAAATTTAAGTAATTCCAACCTTTCGCCCAGCTAACTTGTCTGGACTTCTTCAAGGTAGTAATCCTAATTTTCAAAAAAATTCATATAAACCCATCTTTCTGTACTTGTCTGGGTAATTTGCATAAATTTATACTCGTATATGTAAATATAAGATAAATTACAAACTTTTATAATCAGTGGAAATTCGTCTCACTGATCATAACAAATAAAATTCGAGCTTTTCTTTTCGTTTCATTGAAAAGTCATTTTCAAATAGAAATTAATTGAATTTTCTCAGTGATGGTCACATCTTCTTTTGTAACATTTTCGTTCGGTTATTTTGTTGTTGTTTGTGAAATTCGAAATTTAGAGATTTTTCAAAAACTACACTCTCGTCTAAATAGCCTTCTCAGTATCCAGTCCTAAATTCCTTATTTTCGGTTAATCTTTTTTATGAATCGCTATTCAAAATTAGGAAAGTTTTCTAAGATTTGACTTCCATCGTTTTATACTATAAATGTGTAATCAATATACATAGTAGGGCAAATCAGAATCCAAAAACTTAAATGCCTTAATTGATTTATGGATGTTTAAACTATCTTGAATTCAATTGGGATTCACAAACTTATTTAATCAATTTATTAGCGAATTGGATTAGTTGACTTCCATTTAACGTTTTTTTCTTCAACAAAATAAAAAGATCTGATAGTTCGTTATTAGCTTAGCTCTAAATATGAATAAAAATGGTTGACCTCTCTTTTTTTCTAAAATAAATGATTGGGGCCAAACTTTTCATTTCACGTTAAATATCCTTTTTAATTTTCCTCTTGTGATTACATTTTGTTCAGATTATTTTAACATGGTGCCAGTGAGGTCGGAAACAATTGTTCAGCGATAGTATTGAGTAGCATATATAGGCCAATTTTACTGCATTAGAATATTATTTATCCATAGGCAATTGTTCGTTTTTCTGTGTGAAGTATGACGGAAGCTAACACGTGTTACGTATGCCTGAACACCGATTACGACGACGCACAATGCTGACTAGTATTAAGGATAGTTGGAAGAGAGTGAGAGGCGGCCAAACCGAAACGTGGCATCAGTACTAACTTTTAGTCAGAGCCATGTTGGCAGATTCCCACTTCTTGGCTGGGGCACGCATGACTATCGTAACCAATGGTTGGAGACTCTAGGTGAATACACTCTTTGTCTTCCCTTGAAACTTGAGATTAAAATTGCTCCATAACTTTCCTTCTTCCTATACTATATCCTTATATACAACCTATCTTTCATATACCACCACCACTAAATTAACTACTTCTATGAATCCGGTGTTCATCTTGTTGTGCTAACGAGGTATGGCGACTTGAACCGATGCATAAATGTGCATGGTCCTACGTTGCAGCTGACTGACTGACTGTTGACTTTAGTATGTATATAATCATTTAACAATTTTTTGTTAGACAATTTCATTTATGTCACAATGATTGCATTGATCAACTTGAAATTAATTTAATAGTGATTTTATTGACTAGTAATAGTTTACCCTAACTGTTAAATTAAGGAAAACAATAAGTATAACCTAATAATATATTATAGAAACAATTAAGATATAGAATGAATATGAGTGAAATCTTCGTAGATTTAAAAGTAATGTTCACATTATAAATGGACATTCGACGAGAATACAATGAATATTAGGAAGCAACGAAGAATTTTTTCGCTCCTGTGGAATACTTTAGTTTCGCTCACGTAAAACTCCATAGATAGTCAACATCAGGACCTGTAAATATAGAATATTCATTTCATTTGTAGAATGACTTGATACTTACGTTTCAAAACCAGTCAATTTACGGTTTCACTGATGAGTTAGTCTCTCACTCCTGTCTCAGTTTACTTCACAAGTAATTATCTATTTCACTTGTATCTAATCAATGTATAGTGAAGAAAATATTTTCATAACTTAGTAATTTTTCAAAGATAGTTTACTTCTCATAATTTTTCATGTTCTATTGACTTCAAAAAAACTAGTTTGCTTAAGATCTTCAAATCAAATCTGTAGGGCTATACGTGTTGATAAAAGTTTGAATTCCTAGTACTCACACAGGTGTTATAAACACAACCTAACTGATTTATGATCATCACATTCAGGGTTAGTGTAAGCTTTTTTGTATTAAATGTTTAACTGATTCGAAAACCCAACCCGGATTTACTTCCATTTTTGTTGTCAATCAAAGTCTATCATTCTAGAAGCTTAATATCTGGGGACAATTTAGGGAACGCTTTTGTTTCTTCAATATTTTGAATAAAGTCTAATCGTTTCATTTGTAAGTGCTAGCATATATGTTCTGTGTAATCGTGCATATGTGTATATCTTTTTGACATTTCTTTACTTATTACTAGGAAGAGCTGAATTTTGTCCCATCATTTTTAAAAACGACTGAAGCTGAAGTTACAGTGTCCAGACCAATACATCTTCGAGATTGTTTATTATTGACACATGAAATTTGGAAAACTAGGAAAAATGAAAAAGATTCAGTGAAGGTAAGTAAATGATTTATTTTCACAAGTGATTCAATGAACAAAATATTTGAATTCTAACCAGTGTGTTACTCATTTTAAACCCATCCATCTTATAATGTTTCTAGAAATCAAATAGTACTATTGGCCTTTAAAAATATGAAGATCAAAGCTGAGTCAGTTAATTAATTCTTAGTTGTTAACTTTTATTCGTATTTGTATTCTTATTGTCAGCTCGTTTTTTCCTTTACGAGAAGGTAAATATTTTATGTATCAGGTGGACGTGAATTGTTAGTAGAAAAATTACAAAATGCAAGATACTAAGAAAATGAATAAGAAATTAAGTACCATTCATAATGGATCACCAAGTGATTATATACGACCACATATAACCCCTTTAGAAATTCAATATAATGCAGTTATATGGATAGGATTCGATTTTATTCACATAAAAACTGATACAAAATATATGAAAGTTTATTGTCGGGATGATCATGCAAATTGCTCGCAATAGACATGACAAGCTCAGGAAACATTAAGAAGCATCATTATTCAATCAGCGTTTGATTAGAAGTTTTGCTAGAAATATCACGAAAATGAAAAGTCACATGTAGAGGTTCTGATTGGTTGATAACTACACTGCTACTATGTTGGGTATTATTCAAGAATTTTCAGTAAAACTCAAGGACTTTTAAAATACTATAAAAACTCTATATTTTCTGTACATAAATGAACCTTTGGAGTAAAGTACTTGCCGCATATTTTGCGCCTTTTCTCTCGTGTTCAAGTCGCTGTGTAGTTCTAGCTTGGGGGTTACGAAACTAGCTTAGGATCTGAATATAGCGTTCAATCAATATAAATCATGTTAAATCATCTTAGTAGTTGGAAATTTTCATTTACTTGTAAGAATAAATGAAAATAATGCTAATAGGAATTAAAATTATTCTAAGAAGGACTTGACACGCATGAAATTGATCACCATCCAGTGATCAATCAATTGTGAAAATTATTCTATATTTATCGTATCCCGATGAACAGAAAATTAAAATTCTCACATTTCGCGATTTGGTGTAAATTGCATATTTAGAGAAAAGAATACGAATCTTACTTATGTTCGGACTGGACAATAAGAGTTTAGTGTAATCTAAATTTACATTGAGAATAGATTAAGGACTTTACTCCTTTATTGTGTAATTATATATGAAAGTTTACCAACCACTAATGAAAACATACCCACTTTAGATAGATGTCAAAATTTCACTCAACAAAACATAAGCGTCCTTGTTAAGACAGTGTTGACAAACATCAAGTTCCATAGTCTAATGCTTTTTGATCTCAGCACTTTTGTGTCGGCTTAAACGGTTACGCTATTAATTAATCTACGGCAACACTTCCTGTTTCTCTTAAACCATTATTATTATAAACTTATACCACCAGCATGTTTCGTTTTAGTGAAGATAAAATATTAATTATGTTAAATGAGTGTATATGCATAGTGTACAGCCTACTGTCATTTTTTAATATTTGATCATTTGTTGCAGTTTGATAAACAGAGTGATGTTACTTGTATGATGAATAGATTAATACATACGAACATGTGAATATTATAAGACGATAAAAAATGTATAAATCAACTTAGTTTTCAGTCAATTAATACTCTTATGAATGATGAATGCCTTTTTAGGCTTGATGTCATGTTAATTATGGAATGTCAGCTGGTGAACACAATGAATCAATATGTATTTAGAGTAAGAGTCTGTTAGAATTTCTAATTTACAGTTCAAAATACGAAAAAATAGAGATTCTTGAAACACGACAACTAATAGAACGTGGAAGTACCACTTCAACTATGACAACCACACATATATAAAAGGCGGAAAAACTTAACTTTTCAAGGGAGTTTTTTATTTTTTTCAGAAAAGAAAGACATTAAAATAAGTAGATATAACAATATTCATGAATAAATAGTTTTAAAAGCCAAGGTAATCTATGGGGATTGGTGTCATTTAAGTGCTTTCTTGACGTCACGATAACAGGAAGATACAAAAACTTACAACAATAATTATTATTCTGAGTCTGTACATATCATAATATTGATTCGCGTCAACCCTCAAAAGCTTTGATGAAACACAAAGTTATCTATTTCAGTTGCATTAAGAATAGTACTTTGTTTAAACTTATTTCTAGAAAATGAGCTTTCATAACTCATTGGAATGGTCTTAGAGATTTTATATAGTCTGAAATGAATATTACAATTCTTAATGTTTTATGATCATTTTGAGGAACATCAATAACTCATGATGCATGAAAGAAGTACAGAAGATTGGAGAATCTTAAGTAGAATGAACTTTATCGATGTTATAAAATTTGCGGAAATCTGTCCTTTCGACAACGACTTAATCTTTTGATAAATAATGAAAGTTTTTAATAGTAATACTTTCAAATAACAAGTTACACCTACAGAGCTAGATTTCGTGCTAGTTGACATTCATCACCAAGCGTTATCTGTAATCTCGAGAGAATTGATGCTCACAGTAAACACTAAATCAGTGTTTCATTCAAGGATGTTAAAACCGAACTACTCCACTAGAGAGAGACTGATGGAAGGTCTGTAATAGGTACATAATTTTTGATCACTTATTAGGAAATGATCATTTGCGGTTTCGTCTTGACTGTTTGTGAAATTCCATCTATTGATTTGCTAAGTGACTCGTAAGTCACAGTACACTTTATTTGACTTACTGAGGTTGGTGACGATCAACGGTAAGCGCTAAACTAAGGTTTTATCATGCCCAACACTTGCCAACAAAGAATATGTCAGTTATATGACAACTTACTTTTCCATCGAATTCAGTAAGTATGAAGAATTAAGTGCAGTTTGAGGCTATTTGTCGCATGAATATCTACATGGTAGTGTTTTTGACTGTGATGTTGGATATCGTAAGTTCAGAAACTATGAGTTGCACTAATCTTCAAAACTGCCATATACTTCACCGAGAAATCATAGATAGAACAAAACAAGAATCCAGAGACTCCTGTCGACTAACTTCAACTACACATTATGTTCAATAAAGTCCGACGAGACCTCAAAGCCACTTAACTTAGTAACCAAATCAAAAACTGACTGACAAAATTCTGTCTGTAAATAAAACTAAACGAAATAACATTCCCATTAGCTACGACTGAGTATTTGTCAGTGTGATTTTTAATTGCAATAATTTGCATGTTTTGTTTCTGATGCCTTTTGTTGTGTATTAATAAGAGAAATTCATTTATTATTGCCCCTTTTGATTTCTAAGTAAATCGTATCTCTACACATATTGAATTTTAATTTTAAGGAACATTCTATAGGACAACGAAGACGTTCACTTGCATCGAGACGACTTTCACAGGTACAATAAAATGCTAACAAAGGGACAAATTTATAATTGATAAATCACTTTATTGTTGTATGCACTAAGGCACTCAAACACTATGCACTTTACCTTAATGCACCGCTACACATTATCGGCTACATATATTTTAAATTAGCGATAACAATACGATCAAACGGCAATCGCCTATTAGAAGAATTGTTATAATACGCATCATGTCTATAGGTTTGATCATTAGAATTATCTTTCGGATTGGTTCACGTTGAAGCCTATTGATTAAAAAGTGTTTATTTAGATTAATTTTCTAGAAATCATTTGTTAATAGGTTCAGTCAATAAAAAAATACTTGTATGATGCGCATCCATAGTGAGAATAAACTATGGAATGTTGAAACAGCATATTACTTGGGTAATGGAAAGATACTTACATTTGCTGTCTAAAGGTATTTATAAGTCAGTCATTATACCATTACTGTGTTAGCATTACAGGAAATGAGAGTAAACAAAACTAGATGTTTATAAATGAGCTGGTTAACTTAAATAGTCTATCTTCAAGTCTCAGCGTTATCAGTCGGCGTTTCGAAAACATCTGTGGTAGTTTTTCTGCTTTAAATCTTCTTAGAAGTAATCTGTGTAAACTCACTGTCTGCTAACTCGGTCACTTTTGCATAGCAAACTACTTTGTCCAATCCTCTGGGAATCTAATTTTCCGTTCGTGAGAGCTCTATTGAAGGGTCATTCGTCCAAGTCTCTAGAAGCACAGAAAACTCTAGCAATTGTTTTATTCAGTCATTACTGAGCAGAAATCTCCCTGAAACATCTAGAAGATGAGGTATCATGAGTCATAATTTTTGATTTGATAATCACTCACACCATAGTGGACGAGAACACAAGTGGGGACAATCAACTGTATTTTAAGACAAAATTACAGTACATCTTAGTTAAATCTGAGAACCATACAGTAAATACTTCATCTGAAAAATGTCAATCAATCGTCTGAAACTTCATTGTTCCTTCGTTTCCATTGCATTCATACTCTGTTCTCGTTCTCCTTTATTCGATCTTCCTAAACTTCCACCATTAGGCATTTCACTTTTAATTGTTGATACATACTACCTTTATCTGTTGACATCAGTAACATACACCACAACACTATTGCTATATTCATTATGTCTGAAGAAAGTTCTAGACGTTCGAGTTCACGTGAGACACTATAAATACCCTCAGTTTAGTAAACATGAACTAACCCTGAAGTAAAACTTTTGTCCATATTTTGCGCCTTTTCTCCATTGCTCAAGTTGACATGAACAAATGGTCTGAGGCTATAGAAAGTATCTAGAAAGGTAGTAATAAGTGTTCCATTGATGGATTTATCAAGTACCTTCCTGGGTTACTAAGAAAAGTTGTAGTCGAGACCTTTCCTAATCCACCTAACCTATACGGGTCATAAAGTAAGAATTAACTAGTCCTTATCATTTATTTATCATTTTAAGAGCAATCTGTCGAATGTTTCCAGAATCACTTTTTCGAACAATATAATAATTTAAAAATGTCTGCTATCACAACAATTGTTTTCAATTCGTTTTCTTATGCAGATCAGTAGTGAGATCCATTACCACATAGTCATTTCTATCAGAAAAATCCATCAATACTCCTCATATGCACTTCTTCCTCCACACTAGATTTTCATAACTGAAACTGATTTAATTTTTTCCATTTGAATAGCCTAGGAAGAGATCACTATAATTCTATTCCCTCTCAATTACTTCGTGTGATCCCATGCATTACATTAATTCTGGTCGAAGTTTACCTTTATTATTATATTTTAATTTCTCTCTGCCTGAACATTATGAAATTTGATTCGAAAAACAATTTCTCGTTTATGTCTCGGTTTCTTTTCTAATTATGTCAAAATCGAATATTATACAATGATTTAGGAAAAAGTTAATACCATAGAATTTTTAGTCCATTGTTAATCAATTGGAAAACAGTTACTGAAAATGAAAAGTTCATGGAAAAATCAATAGTACACAGCATTTCCTTAATTAGTAAATCTTTGAAGTCTTTTGCAGACTTTTGTCCGTAAATTAAAAAGGGACAAAAAGAGAGATACTCACCTTACTTACTTCCTTACGTCTGTTACCCCTCGTGGAGGAGCACAGGCAGCTCACCAGCATTCTCCATCCAACTATGTCCTCATTTCAAAGAAATTGAACATAGTTTAAATTATTTATTTAAACACATAAATATTGGTACAAAGGGGCACCAGAAACATACGCACCACACAAATTAAATGAGATTCGTGAGAGGGCTGTGATACTGCCCAGATGCTCAAACCGAAGCAGGTGATTCTCTTAAAGGGGCCACACCCGGAGTCATTGACCTGAAGGTCTAGTCCACTAGGCAGTGGAGCATCGTAAGGAGATGCAGTCCCATGGTAGCCGGTGACCGACGATTGATTCATACGCTCTTTGTTCCCTATGGATCCTGTAGCCCATGTGCACCATTGTTTTGTAATCAGGGTTTTTCAACTTCCCTAGGTGGACTTACCGTGTCCACCAACCCGGTTAAAGCGTCGAACATTCGCTTTTCGTTCTCTCAATTTCGTAAACATGGAGTAGAGAGCCACCCTTAAGAAGTAACTTACATGAAGTCACAAAACTACAGGAATACAATTTTTCTACTCATTGAGAAAATATATTTATTATTAATAAATGTTTAAAATAACAACAAAGAGGAAATAATAAAGAATAAATAATTTGTCTTATATCAAAGTACATTTAAATATATAATAATCTTGTTTTTAAATGGTACTTTAGATAATCAGATCATAAATAAACAAATATGAATAATAATTTTGAATGTTTACTTGGTCAAAAATCAAATTCCATTAATAATTATTTAATTAATTGAAAATAATTCATTGTGTTATTGAATAATAATAATAATAATAATAATAATAATAATAATAATAATAATAATAATAATAATTGTATTACCTTTCCAATGGAGAAAAAAAGTGTGACAAATTAAATTTTATATTTTATCTGATCATATTATGGACATATAAATTTAACCATTCGTTTGATTTTATTATTATTTAATTATTCAATATAAATAATTGAAATATACTCTGATATTTAAATTTAGTTTAAATGATCATTTAAAGTTTGCTAAATTAATGATACAAACAATTTAAGTAGAAATAACTTGATTTTACTGTCTCATTTCATTTTTAAAAATATTAAAACCAAATAAATATGAGAAATGTGAGAAGTTGTTTATAATAACTACAGTGATCTTGAGTGCTGTTAGAGGTATGAGGGCATTTATCACTTGCCGATTGACCACACCGTGGAGGGGTTCTTCTAGTGGTACCTGAAAAAGAAATGGGGTTAGAAGTGGTCTTAATGACCTGAGAGCATAACCGCAGTGCATAAGGGAAAACTGCTTGAGGTCGGTCACACACGACCTTTCTGTGGGTAGCTTTTGTGTTAGCTCTGTATTTGTTGAAACCTTACCGCCGGAGACGGATATACATGGGATAAGGCGAGGTGTGCATTTTTAGGGTCGACCTTTTCTAACCCCACCCCTTCTTGTGGGAAGGAGGCATCGCCGTTATGCTGGTTATCTGAAGGAAACAATTTACTGCCGTCACACCTCTGTACAGTCAGCAGTACGACTTCGCCTTCGGACCTTGGGATTGCTGCTTTTAGTCCTACCGCTCTTCAACCGACCTCTCTGGCATGGTAGGACCTTGAGGAACGATTGTTCCAGCCAGTATAGCTCGATTGGTTCATCACGATAGGCAAGCCCAACCACCACGTCAAGGTAGCAGCAACAGTCGGGGTTTATAATAGCTATTAAGTTATAATCAAAGTTAAAAGGTTGTATTATTTTATAAATCTATTGATAATCATTAATTTCTCATTTTTCAACCATGATTTCTTTAAACTCTAATTGTGGTCATTTATTATTACTTAATCTTCAGCTTATAATGAATATAAAGCTAGCTATATATACGAATATTACGTCTAAGGTGTAACTAAATTTTTGAGTACTTCAGAAGTGGCTGTCATTAAAACTTTATTTAAGCTTCACTAACATTCATCGTCAGAGCCAATTCTGTATATCCAAGCTTTTAATGATATCATCATTAATCTGAATTGTGAATGTATTATCATTTTTTAAAATTTGTGTATTCAAAAACAGTTTGTTCTCTCCTTAAACCTACCCTGGTAATAAATGCTTATTATCCAGAGTGATTAGGTGTCAAGTTGTTTTCACATTATTTTATCATTATTATCCTTGTCTATTTCTTAACTTTATTACCAGTCTAGTTGACCTTCTATTTTTATATATAAATGTTCTGAACAAGTATATGTGTGATCAGATTGTTCGAAATGTATTGCGCTAATATATCACATAGTTCTGATAATCTTCGTCTTCTTATTGCATTATCGAAATGTATTATCAGTTACTCGAAATTTTTATAATGCTAACATATTTTTGAAACACAGTTACTGACGTGATCGAATAAACTGATAAGATAATGAAGAATGCAAACCAACAAAAACGATTATTACCTTCCCTAGTGTATTATTTCTTACAAAGCTGAAGAGAAACACTCAACTTCTGATCGATTGACCGAAATACAAAGTGTCTAATCAATATAGAACTCCATACTTACATTTTTAACCAAAACTTACGACAGAGAAAAGGTTACATTATATATATGATATAGTTCAATAAGTAAATAAACTAACTAAAAATGATAATTCAAACCACGTGGAGGAATGAATCAAAATACAACATAGAAAAAAATCTACCTCATGTTTAATCATTTCAATATCAAATCATCTGTACCACTGGTTACATTACAAACTGGATCGATAGGATTTGATCTGCACTATGGATGAGAGAAAATAAAGTTCAGTATTAATAAATGATCCATTAATTATTTCTACATTCATTCACGTGTTTTAGAGAGTTTTATTCCCATAACAATATTGAAACTTGGACCCTATAGTAAACATATGTCGCAATAAGTTCTGACTAAATGAATAATCTAGTTATTCATTATTGGTTGTTCATTTTGACTTTCTTATGGTTATATTAATAAACGTTGATTACGTAATCTAACAGATTCAATCAATTCTACTTAATGTAATAGTTTTATTGCAATGTTCGGATCAATAGCATATAACCATAGATATTGTAGTGAATAGAACACTGGTTGGGACAATCGAATGTGTTTAAGCAGAAATTACAGACCATCTCAGTAAATTCTGAAAACCATACAATGAACAGTTAATTTGCAAATTAACAACCAATTGTCTCAATCTTCACTGTTTCTTATCTAATTCCATTGTTCATGCATTTTCCTACCGATTGCGATTCATTTCAGTTTTTTCCTCATTGGTCTTCTGCCAAAATAAATTCTATGTCTGACCAACACCATATACTACTTATATGGATATAAGTAGACCACACTACAATATGATTAACAATACTTTCAATCAAATCTTGCAACAACAAAAAAGAATATTTCTAAAGATTTATCTCTTTTTTTATCATTAATATACTGATCATTGGAAGTATGAGAAACTATTATAACAGTATAATGGAATCAAAAATTTGTATATGACATTCCATTACATAGTCTAATGAAATATTTTATTATGAGGTTAACTTTTCTCATTCTCTCTCTTCTTCTTCATTGTTTTTATCATTTAATTATTATCATGTAGATTAATTGACTACACGATTGACTTATATATTATATGGTATATATATCCAAATCTTATTTAATTTAAATCACGAAATGATCGAAATTTTGTTTAGATCATTCAGTCTAGACAATGATCTTCTTTTCATGATCAATAGTTGTGTTGTATTTTAGATTAACTAATCTAAGTAATGCAAGAAATAAATGTACTCAAACAATAGATTTAACTATGAAGATTATGGTCTTGATAATAGATAGGTAAGATTAGTTGAACAATTATTGATAAGAAGTTCGGAAAGTCCGTGCGATACCTTTAAAGATAAAAAGCATAAATAATTTAGTTGTAAATAATGAATTCAGTTATAAATTATTAGTTAAGATACTTAAAAGTTTTATGTAATTATAAAGAAAACTTTGAAGTTGTTTACTTGAGTAAAGTTTCATACTAAAGAACAAATTGTTCAGTGAATTTAGGTCTAGTTGGATCTTGGCTAACACTAGAAAGCAGAATAAGCGTTTCTTCTAATCTGAGAATCGTTATTTGAATATAACTAAATCCCAGTATTAGTGTTTAAATAGAATTGTTTTTAGCTTTCAAATGATGCTAAATTATTTTTGTTTAAAAAAAGTGATTAACTATGAGTAGCTTAAACTTTTTATAAATCTATGAATTAACATTATTGTTTATCGTTTCTTTGTGTCACTATATAAATTCTTGGTATATCAAAGAAAGTACCTCTATACTACAAATTGATCATCATCTTAAAGTATTAACTATTGAATTTTCATTATTGTTTTAATCATTCCTATAAGTAGCATAGTAATTGTGAAAAGAAAAATTAAATAATTTCTAGAAGGAAGGAATTTTAATCTATATTTAAACCTACTTGTCATAAACTTCCATAGATTTTTTGGTTATTTTTATTGTTTATTAAAAATTAAATTTATCTGTAAAATATTCAAATTTTTTTAATTTGTTATTAATAATCTGAAGGGGGTTTTGTGGAAGTTTTAGTAATTTCATATAGTTTAGATCATGAGTCAATTGAAGCTAGACCATCATGGAAAACCTGGAAGCACTAGACGACCGTTTCGTCCTATTGTGTGACTCCTCAGCAATGCGCATCCACGATCCTGCCTGGCGAGATTCCAACCCATGACCTACCAGTCTTGTGCTAGAGCACTTAACCGATTGAAGTTGGATATTAACACCGTTGGATGCTGGCTCAGTGGTCTATCGGTTAAGTGCTTACGCGTGAGACTAATAGATCCTGGGCTCGAATCTCGCGAGGCGGGATCGTGGATGCGTACTGCTGAGGAGTCACACAGGTTTTCCATGGTGGTCTAGCTTCAATTGACTCATGATTTCAACTATATTAATAATCTATTTTAAAATTTTCATTCTGTTAATTTTAACATTCAATTTGTGTTAATCTATATAATGAATATTTTAAGTAGTTTATTGTATTTTGTAAATGATCGACTAAGTGATTGAAAAAGAAACAAAAAAATGGTTTTTCCCATTTCTTCTTACAATAAAATTTAGATGAAACCTCAATTAAAGCCATCGACAATTAGTCCAAATATAACAAAATTATTTGATGAATTTTTATATAATTTCTTTAAACAAATTTATGGTATTGAACAAATACGTATTGAATGGGCATATGGATTTTATGAAATGTTAATTAAAGAAAAAAATAATTATAAATTAAATGAATTAAGAATGATCATTGAAAATAAGGTAAGATAAAATGATCAATAATTGAATTTCATTTCTTTTATTATTATTTTTGTTTTCAGTTTAACAACCAGGTTTTCCCTGGTGGTCTAGCTTCAATTGACTAACGCTTTCAACTATGAAAATTTTCAGATCCGTTAAAGATCATCTTTTCAAATGTTTCTCTTTTCGTATCATTTTCATAATTTTTATTGAAAGTATTATAACTTAAAAGTAATCAGTATGCATAGAGAACATTCGCTAAAAATAATCTTATTACATTTATTAACCACGCACGTAGTATCTCGTTTATATCATGTAACCATTGGCTTTGGTAAACGAAACACTATGATTGACACGATTAACCCTGAATTGAGATCGAGATAATCATAACCCCTACCAGTTCACAAATATGTACGTCTTTTTCTATTGCCAATTCCCAGTTTGAACAGAACACTAAACAAGCTTCTGTAACTATATATCAAGCACCCAGTGTTTTTAGCTCAAATACTTATTACTTTATATATACGAATTTTCAGAACCCAACGCACTTGAAATAAGAAATCATCCTTTACACACAATCAAACCATAAGTGGCAATAAACAGAGTAAATGGTACATAATTATTAAACATTAACCATCAAATAATATAGAATACAACCACAGATAATAGGTGCTTACAATAAAAGGAATACTGGAAAATAATAATTCAGTCATTTAATAAATATAGAATAAAAATATAAATAATAGTAATTCGTAAAATAGTCAAGAAAATTCATATCTCTCCAATACTCAACCTATCATAAAATCTTATTCTTGAAGAATTTAAGAGAAAGCGCGCTCAACTATAAAGCGCATTTTTAAAAGTATATGTGAGCATAAATCATTTAGTCAAAACATATCCGATGTTTAGTCACCTAAAATGCAAACAGAAAGTTTTCCAATAACTCTGAGCTTCTGTCTCCTTAGCATTTCAGAAGCCTTCATAAGGCACGTAGAAAAGTCAAAATTGAGTATAAAAAGAAGCTTATTCAAACACTTCTACCGTGTTCTTAACCTCCAGTTATACCTTCCCCTATTTCTCTATTGACCTTCTGATTCAATTGACTTATTTTCGTTTCCATACTCTTTCTGATGAAATGTTATTTCAACTTCAACAGTTTACTTAATTATTTTATCCAGCCGTTGTTGAGAATTATCAATCTTTTTTCTATTTTCTTGATGAATATTCAAGATCCTAACAAATACATTTTCAGTTTCATAATAAAATGATATTTTTGCATCTTTGTGTAATTTACTTCTCTGATACTATCTTCATTTAATAATTTTTAATATGATTATTGCTAACAAACATGTTATTTCATAAAGAATTTCGGCTAACACTGGTAGAATAGTTTCATAACAGTTGGACACTAAATTTATGAACGATGCTAAAATAGGAAATTATATTTATAAACACCTTAAGGAATGAAATCACTTAAAAACTTAAACGATTCATTCGATAGTCAAGCTCGATATTATCAGTTTTTAAAAGATAGATATTTGTAATTGTACAGTTTCGATTATGAATTAACTCGGAAAGAGAACTCTTCATTGAGTTTATTTTTCATCTTCTTCATATCTAGAACAGTCACTATTTCTCGAAACATATAAGCAAGTGATATTGTTTTCAGTTAAATCTTCATCAGGCTTTACTCGAATATGCAATAATATTTATATGAATATATTTAGAAACATTAAACCAATTAAGGTAGTATTTAAGATAATGATCACAATCAAATAGATTAAATAACTAAATATCATAAGTAAGAGTAAAGATTGACGGTCTCACCATCTGAAATTATAGTCTGAATTCGTTATCAAATAGTTCATATTTACTGTATCATCTTAGGGGTTAATTGAAATGATTAATTAATTTAACTATTTTACTTTCTAGATCCTTTTCCTGTTTAGAAGCAACTGATCCATTTATACTTACTCTGTTCAAGATTCAGATCAAATAGTTTTTGATATTTATATTAGACGTTCAAACAACCCTGTTTATTTTTAGTTTTTTCTCGCTTTCTGTATGCTTCATTTCTGAACAAATAGCTAGCATACAATCGGAAAGAGATAAATAGATCGGAAACTAACTTAATGTAGGTTTAAATACTCAGAACTTTCCATGAAACAGAAAAACAACAACACAGAGTGAAGTGAAGAAACAGTCAAAATGATGACATTAAAATTGATCAGATACTAAAACAAAACGAAACAAAAAGTATAAAACGAATGATGGAAATACACTCACAGCGTAATGTTGGAGAATTTTCGAAATATATATGTGGATAAATGGTGATAATCTTCGCCTCATTGTGACTGACATGTTTTATCGCCTAAATCTTTCAAATATATCATTTTGCATAATTTACAGAACTTTGATAAAAAGACCTAGATAATTCAACAAAAGTTAGTTTTCATTATACTGTTTTTCATCTTTAGATGGATGAAGAATGTCATTGGCATTTGGAATCATGGATACTATTTATTAAGGAACAAGTGCTAACATTTATTGATAGCAGTAATAATAGCTCAGGTAAGTGATAAGTGAACACTCATACGCAAACAAAGAAAGAATAATTGGTCTATTCAGTAAATACGCAAAATACGTGAAATAAACGAAGAACTCTTAGAGGATTCACGAAATATCGACATTTGTTTATAAAGACAGAGCACAGAAGAAAATCGATCTTTTCACAGTGGGCTCGTCGTTGAAGATAATGAGGACTGTACGGTTGGTCTAGGACGACTAGTCACCACCTGTTTCGATGGAAAATGTCTTACGATTCCTAATTAACCACACATAATTTAGATAATGGTTGATCGACTGAGTTTCGGAAAATCGTCTATAGATGCGATCCTAACAAAACATAAATCCCAGAGGTCGCTAGTGGAACGAGTATGTTGGAGTAATTCTGAAGGGACCCTAAATTTTCTGAAATAAAGCTTTTATGACCTCAACTAGCAAGTTTGTTGAACTGGATGGTACAATCAACTCGGTTTAATAAATTGTTTTTTCTTTGTTATTATAATTAATAGTCATAATACCGACTACTGAAAACTCTGAACAACGAAAAGTCATCTTAAAACAAACTTTACATGAAGCGCTATTAAATATATTCAGTCAGCAAGATTTAATCAACTTAAATATAATTCAATCAGCTGAAGAGTATGCAAGTTTACAAATAAAAGATTCACCTGCAAAAGCGCTAACAAACATGGATGAAGGCGAAAACAAAGATAATGAAAGCATACAAACTAATTTACATAATATGCTTGATTTTAATAAATTATTCAATAATGTAAGTTATTTAGTTTAAAATAACTATTTTTTGCACCATTTACTGTTTAATTGAAAGGTTAGAGTTTATAAACAAAGGTTTTGTTCTAAATGATGCTAGTTAACAGCATTAAATAAAGGGTTATGTGAAACTGCAGACTTAACGATAAGTATTGATAGTTCAGTAAAAGGATGCCCTTCATCCATAGTACCTAATTTACTAGACTCTCAAATCATGAGGAACTACTGAGTGATTTGAAATAATAAACGTCACTTTACGCCTTACAATTTTAGGTGTTTCATTACGTATTCTTTTTAATGACCTGTTAATTATATTATGATTTTTTTCTCCCAATTACTGCAATAAACACAATTTGTGTTTTGTTTCATCACGTATTGGAAAATACTAGTTTCTAATAATAATGAATTCCTTGAGTTAGACGTAGGGTAAACAGTAAAGCTGAAGAATCGGTTGATGAAGTTACTAACCTTCATTGACTGGGCTGATTGGGAAGTGTTATTCTCGCCCATTCATACAGTAGTAGATATGAAGAAATCTAGGGTCAATCAGGCCAAGGCGTAGCAGTAGTCTAATATCCGGTGTGAAGCATTTTGTGTAACGTAACCATTGTAGTTAGGATCAGAGACATAATCGCAACCTTCCATCAAAAATTGATATTATTGTTACCCCCTTCAGCATTTTTCATCTTCATATTACTATTAATTCATTCCGATATGAGGCAATGACAACTCCGTCTAGTGCATGCTTCTACCACACCCTACGGTTTTGATGGCTGAGTATTAGATTTAAGTCAAAAAGAAGTGCTATTCTTCACGCTCAATACGTTTTATTGATCAGACAAGATAGAATCACAGCTCATGTGAAACCTTTCCATGTACATATTGAACTGAAAATTACTTGTTTATTTAAACCTACAATGTTTGTTAGAGTATCAACAAATTTTAGTTTAATTTTATAAAATTTTCACGCTGTTTTTTTTCGTGACAGAATTCAAATAACACAAGCATTTCAGTTAACTTAAATCAACAATTTATAACTTCATTATTCATTAGAATAGAAGCTTATTTTTGACTTTTTAGTTTGTATAATATTTCTCAAAGAGGAATGATCGATATGCACTTCAAGTCGTTTGGCTATAATAAAATTTATCAGAATTCGATTTTGATTCACGTAGTAAGAACAATGATGTTGATACAATGAATAGATAGATTTTATTATCGGTTTCTCCAAAGTGTAATATTAAGAGAAGTCCTTTAATGCAGTTTTTCACTTATCGAATAATGGAGATAACGTGTGACTCACATGGATGCTATGGTGTTACATTCTCTCAGCTAGAGCAAGCGTTCATGGTGTCGTCGAAAACGAAAGCCTCATAGTCTGAGCACTCAGCTCATATTATCTGATATTACTAATTTATGTACTGGATACTGGAAACGTGTAATCTTACTACAATCATTGGTGGGAAAAATTTTAAAAGCTAATGTGAATTTGCTGTTTGAAGCGATTAAAAGTTCACCTAGTCTGAGAACGGAACAAAGACCTGTGATCAAAGACCAATAAGCTAGTTATTCTGATACGTCCAAGCCCAGCTAACTAGAGAGAGGAGTCGAAGTCCAAACGGGAATGAATATATTCCGCAAACAGCTAGAAGCACAAGCGACCTAATAGGCACAAATTAAACGTATATATGCAACATAAAACTGTCCTTGAGAAGCGCTACAAGGTAGCATACTAAAAGACAAAACGGGCTAATAGCGTTTAAGATTTTCCCATGTAGGAAATACGATATGAAGGTGAAAAGAGAGCTGATGGCACGAAAACAAAGAAATTCAGAATTTCAAAATAAAATTACGAAAATACGGTATTTACCAAGTGAGTTCTGGAGATCTAACATCCCAAACAGAATGTCTCGTTTGAATACAACTGATCCGAATCGGTCATACTCTTGAAGACAATTCAATGCCTTTCGTTGTCATTATTTATAGACAATGCCATCTAGATCACTAGTTAATTGTAAAATGTTTTCTGGTGTACGAAAATAATTTAATACTGATAAGTCATTACTACATTCAACAAATTATTTGACGATTGTGAACAATGAATTTAGTTGGTGGAGTTACAAAACTGTAAGTACAATGAAACAGAACATTTCACATAGCCAAATTTCATTACAAACAGTATGGTATACGGAACAACTCTAAAGTCTATTGTATTTGGTTTCAACTACTTCAAAGGAATTAACACCAACATTTGAACTCGTTTTCCAAACAAACTGTATAACATAGGTCAGGAAACAATGGGATTAGTGTTTTTACAAAATGCAGTGTGATATAAAATACGGTTCGTGTAGTGAGATTATCAGGCTAAACAAACCTTCCCAAATATTCCTTCAGTGTTGAGAGCTTTTTACTTCGAACTATTTAATTTTGTTTCGGTAATTTATTTAGTTTCAAGAAATAACTTAAACTAGGTCACGAAACACAAGGAATACCATTTTCTACTCATTGAAATACCACAATAATGAATAGTTGCAACAATCTCTTCATATATGATTATTTTGCTTCATTTATTTATTGAACAGGCAACAGATGAAGACTTCAATCCATTCTTAAAAGAATTAGTCTCAATATATAAACACTTGAAAACAACATTTGTCAATGGAATTATCACTGAACTTCAAAAGTTAACGTAAGAGATTATATCGTCCTTACAAGTTTAACGAAATATTCGTAGCTATAGTTTTCTTCATATTGTTTGTCTGATCATGTAATGTTTGAGTCGATGGTTCTATTGAACTATTTCACGTTATCCTGAAAAGAAGTACAATGTGACTGCAAGAATATTATGTCCTAACAACTATTCTTATCAATGAGTTTGTAGGCATCAATGCCAAGATGAGACTTGATGGTTTCAAATAAATTGAGCATTGGGTAGAAATTTACAACAAATGTGATCTTTTTTGTATCCAAATGAAAAGAATAATTGTATTTCTGACGTTTCGTGACTAAATGTAAGCCACTTCTTCAGAGTAAATACTCTGAAAAACAATTTTTCTATAAATTGGCATATACAAAAACTATATTTACTACTAATTATTTCTATGCCAATGGGCATCCTGTAGAAATAATTCAGTGTAAAGTTGAGTTTCATCACAAAATTACATCAGCTGAAGAGCCATGCCAAAATGAGCAGTCAACAAATCAGAAAATTAATGGAAAAGCCCACCGAATGGAAACCATGTAGAATAATATGAATCCATACACGAAAATTAGAAACTTAGGTCTACAAAAGATGTATAGGATACTACTGAATGCATTGACGCCGAAATTCTCACCAGAAATATCATCCTTACCATGAAATGCATATTATTCAGAATAGATAGGATTCCATTTTTATGTTAAATATCAAACGATATAAATTGATATGCTTCTGTAATACATGACTATAACTAACTGGTATTCTTTTATAAAGGAGTCAAGTGAAAAGTAAATGTATGAATCTATGTACGTAAATTGTGTGAATATTTGTTTTCAATGTTAAAGAAGAATAAATAAGTTTATAATCACTACACAGCAGTAAATTTACATTATACTTGGCAGAAAGAGTTGCTAAAACATTAACAAACCATAAGAAAGAGAAACCTCTGAATGTCACAAAACATAGGGATCTGTAAAGCTGAAGAATCTAGGAGGAGAAGACTTTATATATAATCCTCCAAGTCTAACTAACAAAATAAAAAGCTACCTTAACTGTTCTGGGGGATAAAGCTATCTCGAACAACATGGAGCCACTTACTGAAAATTGTGATCTCACACACGTAAACAATCAGTAAGTTATATCCAATATCAGTGTGAATTGATTACTGGAAAATCTGTCAACAATAATATTATTTACTAGGTATTTAGTTTTCAGCTTGAAGATAAGCAGTGTCAGACCTGCAGATTTGACATTTATCTGTGTTCAGATAGGTCTTTTGAAATTTGATATAGTTCGTAATTCGGACTAAGCAGTTGCGACTTCTTTTGAAAATGACAAGGACTTTCGAAATTACATTCACAATATATGATGGAAAGCGAAATAATTTTCATACACAATATTTTAACCGTTTTCAAATTTATTATAAATGATTATTTATCAATTCATGATTTTTTCATTTGATGGAAAAAACAAACAGATCAGATGGAGTACAATCCAGTAATGTAACACTAGCTCAAGTGAGGCATACAATCGAACGCATAGCTCCATCCACTGCTGTCACACTAAATGTAAGACCAAAAAGTGGGAGACCTATCACAACGCAACAGCAACAGTACACACTATCAATTGATATCGAATCAAGTTTAGAATGGTTGTTTAGAATTAAACCAAGTGATTCACCATCACAATCTATATCTTTGAATCAGTTAACCACACGTCTTGAAGGATGTAATCTATTTTTTGGAAACTAGTATAAAAACTCACAGTTTCCTGTTTTGTTCATTTTTCTTTTAATAGACTACATTTCTAGAGAAAAAAATGAGTTATTCAGTAATTCTAAGTAAATATATGTTGGAATTTTATAATTGTTTTCATTTGTGCTCTACCAACCGTAAGATTTTGCTTTGAGTAATTTTCTGATGAGAATATTTCTGTTTAAGAGGTTAATAAGAGGAAGGCTACCTGTAAACACTACGGTTATCGAACCCATATCCTCATCATATAATCAAGTACGTTTAGAAACAAGAGCTACTCCTGGTGAACAAAGTTTATTGTTGTCACTAGGAACTACAATTTTTATAAATCGTCATACAACTATGATTATTAAAAGGTGTTGCTGTTAATCGCACTAAATTATTATCTATTACTTACTTTAAAGTCAGAAACTACCAAAAGTCAATACGAGATTGATGTCAGAAAATATAATTATCTCAAAATGTTCATAAGTACGTCGATTTATTGTCGCTGATTGGCAAATTTAACATCTTTTGAAATCCAAAGTACTTAATTTATGTAACTGCTAATGCACTGGATCATACATATCTTATGATTATTATCTTCCGAAATTCATCAATTGAAGTTACAGAGTCCCCATACGCATTGGTACTATGTGGGTAGCCATCCTTTTTCTTCATATATGACCTAACTTTCTTCCAATGACGAATTGAAATCTACAGGCCAATCATTATATTGATGACCAGTGGTTACTGAAGTCAACGAGGTCCTGGCTGCGAAAATAATGAACAGTATCATAGATCACTGTTGATTACTTGAAGTTCGACAATGCTAACTACTGAAATTTCAACTCAATGGTAAAGTTCTTGTGCTGATACCAAAAATTTCTGATGTCCGTTCGCAAACAAAATTAAATTGAATAAACAACATAATAGAATTTGAAACCAAAAGGAAATAACCGCAAATATTATGTTTGAGATAAAGTAACAACGAAATAGTAAAATGTAAATACTCGGTGGGAGTCTTGTTTTAGTTGTTTCATAAATATCGTTCAGTATTTTCATCTGCTGCTAGTCTAGTAATATAGTCATTCATACTTTTTGCCGCAGTACATTGATAAACTGTACACGGGAAATTGCTACATTTTTTGAACTGCATAAAAGTACTAATAACTAGTGAATATATTTTAATCAATGACCACACAACATTGCTAAATATTATTACAAATTTATTACCTATAAATGATTCACAATTGATTCACTGCTTATGAAACGTGAAATAAACTGAAATATTTCGGAACATGTTCTCGAATTCTGAATTATTTATGATTACAATTTATATAAAATACAATGTAACAGTATAGATAAGCAATTGTTAAATTCAGTTTAACAATATATATATATATATATATGAACGGAAACAATCGCTAAAAATGTTACAGCGAGCTAATGAGTTACTTTAGGTTACTTCGGGCTAGTAGGTGTCAATTCTCTCATTGTTTTCAGTCTCAGAGACTGTGTGACAGTGAGGAACATCAGCAACGGAAACAGTAACTTAGAACAAAACCGGATTTAGGAAACCAGGAAAATCTAGAAACTACTACGTATCAATCAAAACGTACAAGTCAGCAGTACAAGGTGGCAGCCGATAAAACTCTCTTAAAGCAGAATGACTGGTAGTTGACCCTCAGTACACCCACAAAAAGCTCATGAGACCGGTTTGGCTGATGAGAAATATTATTGTTTTTATCAGGTTAGGAAAATATATTTGTTGATGTTCCATATGAAACTTATACTCTCATTGTAATTCAGGTGGCCAACTGTAACATGGACAATCATCAAAAAAGAACAACTGTTTTTTCTGTGAGAATTTAATACTACTTGAAATAGTCCTGAGATTTTGACAAAATTCGACTGTATTCAATATAAAGACTGTCTCAGCTGACATTATAACCCTGTAAATTACATACACCACAATCTCAACTACCAAGTATTAGCACAGAAACCATTGAACAAAGTTGAATTTCAACTTCTAGAAGCCACAATGTACTGTTAACGGATAAAATAGTCACTCGACTGACTTTCACCAATTCTCAAAACCAAGTCGTGTAAACTAGCTTACAAAGGTTGAGGAATGGGTCTTTAGTTTGCTTTCCGTTGTAAAGCAAAGGTCGAAGTTCTGTTCACTTAACAAGCCGTACCTATTGAGATCGTTGATTTAAGTCGTCAGAACAACTGCAAGTATATTGAGTAATATCTCCAAACCTTAGATAACACAATCCGAATTCATAGTAGTGATGTAAATTCACTCGTAATCTCTGGTGTAAGGCGATACCGTAATCACTGACCAATTAGTTACCACTCTACGTCACAAGTATTTCAAAAGGAAACATTCTGTCGTCCTTGTCCAACCAAATCCAAGGTCAACAGAACAACGTGTTAATCATTTGTGCAGAGATTCGAACACTGAAAACTTTATCAGAAAAGATAATGAGAGCGCCATTGTCGAAAATTATGTCGTTATAGACCCTTAAAATCAAACAACTGAACAGAAGTAACTTGACTCAGTACCAAAGCACGGGTTCACATACAGATTTAAGCTACACTATTTTTGCATAGAGGCTAACGGAACTATACAGTGTTCATCTGACGGACTATGCCTAGGTCTGAGTTACAGATACAAAACTCGCTGTAAGAGTATTAAGTACAAGCTGCCTGAAACTCTATTCTAAGCCATGTTACAATATGACTGAAGTTAGGATGGGAAGTTGCTTAAAGAAACTGGACACTTTGATTACTTCAAGTTTAACGAAATGCAACTTAACAAGTTACTTTTACTTTTGTGATTGAACACAAATAAATTCAGATAAGATGTAATACAAAATTTTGTGGGATTAACAAAAAGGTGTAAAAGGTAATGATGAGATATGAAAAACCGAATAATAGGATAAAGTCACATAATAGATAAAAATATAAATTGTCAACAATGATGAATAAATATTACTCTTTTTAAATTGAAAAAGATAAATGAATCATGTCGGTAGAAATCGAAACAGGGTAATCATTTTCAAACTTCATCTGAAAGAAGTTTGGAAAAGGCGAACACCCCATTCGGGGTTTCTGAAGCAGCTTGTGGAACTGATTGAGCAGGGAATAATCGCATCATAGGTATATATGTTTTGGTACGATGAACAGAATCTGGATGAAGAGCTTTCGCAAAACCGACACGGTTTTTGCCCATATCGAATACTGTATAAAATTTACCTATGAATATATCTCCTAATATCCATAATTTCCTCTTCGGCAAGTCCAATCCCATGAAACCGGATAGGCAAATCTCAGAACCCATTTTAGATACCTGTATCGAAATCAAAATCATGCACAGAAACAATCAAACATTTTTTTATTGAAAAAACTAATATGCAGGTCGACGTAGTAACACAATAAACGATAATTATACACAAGGAGTAGTACTTATTAACCCCACCTGTAGCCCTTCTAGGGTTACTGATGGTCTCAAGCCTGGATAAAAAGACGGGGTTAGGCATGGAGTCACCAACACCATCTCGTAGAAAAAAACCCTGCTAAAAATATAATAACCAGAAAAAAACAATCAAAATCTGTCCTGGGAGTTAAGGGATCTACATTTAGAAGAATTATGACGGCTCATGATGAAAGCCGAAATTCTTCGCAAGTCATGGGTCAATGCCCCTTCTAACGGCCAGAGCAACAATTAATATAGGTACATGGAATGTCCGGACAATATGGGAAACTAAGAGGACTAGTTAAATAGCTGCAGAAATGAGGGGATACAAATTGATGGTTCTTGGAATCAGTGAAACCCATTGAACCCAAGCTGGACAGCAAAAGCTAGATTCTAGAGAGATGCTTCTGTACTCCTGTCACGAAGGCGAAAATGCTCCACACACTCAAGGAGTTGCTCTGGTGCTAACCAGAGAAGCACGAAACGCACTTGGAGGATGGGAATCTCATACATCCAGAAGCATCAAAGCATCATTCAAAACAAAGAAGGAAGGGATCACAATGAATGTTATCCAATGTTGAGCACCCACCAATGATAGCAACGACGACAATAAGGATCAGTTTTACGAGAGGCTGCAATCAATCATAGAGAAGTGCTCAATAAACGACCTGATATCCTGATAGACTCAAACGCCAAAGTCGGAATGGATAACACTGAGTATGAAGATATCATGGGACGACATGGACTGGAAGAAAGAAACGAGAATGTTGAGAGATTCACAAACTTATGTGCCTTCAATACCATGGTTATAGATGATACTATATTACCACACAAACGCATACACAAACCTAAGTGAGTCTCATTGAATCGCACTACAGAGAGCCAGATCTATCATATCTGTATCACTAAATAATTCAGAAGGTCAATGGAAGACATGAGAACAAAGAGAGGTGCCAACACAGCTTCAGATCGCCACCTAGTGGTGACAAATGCAGAAACAGCATTACCAAGGTTTCAGATAGCCTTCCTTAGAGATACTGACAAACTCGATGGATTCAAGATAGCTCTCCATAAAAGGTCCCAAGCCTGACAAGATCTACTCGAAGGAGAGGGAACTTTTATGGGGGATAAGTAGAAAAGGGACCAAAGAAGCACTAACTTCAACATGTCAAAAAGTTCTGAGCCTCTAGAAGGACTGTCATAAATAATGGATTTCTATCGCTACGCTAGACGAGATTCAAGAAAGGAAGAATATATAGATAACAATTGACGACAGTCGAACGAGAGAGTCAAGGCACAGACCGAATGCACAGAAGCGGACAAGAGAGTGAAGAGGGGCATTAGAGCTGACAAACAGATGCACATGGAAGACCTAGCAATGACGGTGGAAAAAGCTGTAAGGGGAGGAAATATGAGACACCTATATGGCACAACGAAGAAACTAGCTAAGAAATATTGTAAACCACGGCGACCAGTCAAGAACAAAAAAGGCAAGCCAATCACTGAGATTCAAGAACATCGGAACAGGTCGGTGGAACACCATGAATAACTCTGGGATTAAGCAGCCCCACTGAACCCACGAGGTTTCGAAACAGCGCCTACAGACATTCCTATAGAAGTCACCAGATCAACAATCGGAGAAATCAGC